GTTGGGAATACACTTATCATGCATCAACATTGAACATTGGGCTCAAAATTGTATCCAAATTATACAAATTGCCGAACATTGCCCGAATGTAGACAATGCTCTCTAACGACATGAGATCACGAAACATCACCATGATCATTAACAACAACAACAACAACAAATCTGTAACAGGAATTCCTTTTCTAGGTTCAAAATGCGAAGTCCATTATCCTAAACCGGGGATTTGGGGGGAATCGCTTCGAACAAGATGATGTTCCGAACGTTACCGGTGCCAAAATGACTGATCCTTGCCCAGGTATAGACTTACGAAACTTAAGACATGCCAATGTGGATATAGTCCACCTTCTCATCATTCTCACAATAATAATAACATTTTAGTCAAATTGTCTATAATATTTACTAAGGATTAGGGTTTCTGCAATATATTATACATATACTGTATGTAACTCTATTACGATGAGCTTATATAGTGGCTATATTGCTTGGATCAACACAATAGAGGTAAGTAACGATTTAAAAATGAAGTATTATACTCACTGTTTGCCTATAGATCCTGTTAAATGCGAAATGAATCGTAGAATGAGGCGTCGAGTCGTCTCCTCAGAAAGAGCTAAAAGTATTCACACATAATCTTACACAGTTCAAATAAAAGTAACAGGCAACAAGTGACGTAAGAGTTCTCTTCTAGAACGTGTTATGAAGGCGTCTACAATGTCTCTTTCCCATTATAAGAGCAGAGTCTTTCTCTGTATCATGAATCTGGTTTTATAGTTGCTAAAACATGCAGTGTGTCGAGGAAAATGATCTTGAAATCAGTCTCATGTAGATTCCCTTAGCACAAATGTGCTTTGTTCAATCAGATGTCCATGAAAATGTTACTGATATCCCATATCAAACGAAAAGCATAGTGTGCGTGATTCCGTATTTCACAGTCTTGTGACAGTGAGGAAGTGTGCATGGAGTCTTAAGTTATGAAATTGTAAATAATACACTCTTTATGTTGTATAGCTCCCTCTCAAGGTCAATATATTAATTAAGCTATAAAACAATGTTTCACGACTAAAATCGACCGATTAGCTATTCCCGTTTGAAAATTATATATCACAACTACATATTCTGACATTTTCATGATCGCAGCTACTATCGTATGGCCGTAGGCGCTATTTGAAATTATCAAAATTTACCGGGAGCTCCGGTAAATTTTTATATTTAATATTTCTCGAAAGTCAAAGTGTTTTAGGGGCTGAATTTTCTAGTGATTATAATACATCCACAGGGGCATCCAAACATATATAAATTGTAAAGAATCACTTCCAGCCAATTTTCAAAATTTCCCAAAACTTTGTATTACCTTTAACAGTAAGATTCATGAGAAAATTAAACGGCGGGAGAAAAGGGTTGTATTATTGTTTCAAGACAAGTATAGCATTTCAAACATATTTCTCGAGTCACAACATTTGCATATTTACAAACGTTACTGCATGCGGAAATTACAAACTGAAATTAACACGGCGAGTGATGTTAATGTCAATGAGAGGGAATTTGAGGAGTTTTGTATCAACCAAATAACGAGTCAATATGTTGTGAATGATTAAAACAAATTATGGAAATAGAGATATATGTGTGTAAATGTTTTACCCTACTTCATCGCTGCTATGCGGGTAGTCCAGAATCTGGCCTATTTAACTTTGATCTCCACCACACCAGCGCTACCTCCCCCTACTTCCTTGCTACCAGCCGATGATGGGGTGATCATTAAATTAGGACGCCCGCCTGGCGAAAAAAAATTGGCTGGGCTGGTGAGCATAATACACCAGTTTACGGTTGTGGGCGCCATTTTAATGTACGGGTAAAAAAAAACATGGAGCCGTGGCGGTACACCGAAAGAAAGAGATTGACAATTAGCAGCTATCGACACTTTGAAATGCTAATATAACTAATTGTTGTGTGCAAAGGCGCCGGAAGTGGGGGGGGGGGGGGGGCAGGGGGGCAAAACGCATTTTGCCCACCCAAACAAAAATAACACCCTCCCCCCCCCCCCCCGAAAGGGCAGTAAAGGATTATGGGTGGTTTGTATTTTTTAACCAAAAAGAACATAAAAAAGAACAAAACCTGAATTGAATCACATATAAATTATATTCCATTCAAAGAGAAGGAAAGTGAACAGGAATTAAATTTTGTATACATTCCGCATGCCCCTACATTTATCAATGGTGGTTTTTATAATATATGCGATTCGCGCATATCGTGGAAATATTGTAAGAGGATTGGAAAGTGTGTGCGTTTTTTTATTATAGAGGTGAGGAGACATGAGCGCCTGAACACTGGCGTACTAATAGGTGAGGGTTTTTTTTTCTAATTCGATACTAGGATTTCTTAGGGGAGGGGGCCCAACTTTTTTTTCTTTTTTTTTGCTCCCGAAAATTTGAAAATCGCGCCGGCCGAAAAGTCGCTCAGTGGGGGGGGGGGGGGGGGGGGAGGGGGGGGAGGGGGGGGGGGGGGGGGGTAAGCGGACATTTTTTTTTTTTTTTTTTGAGTCCCAAAAAAAACCGCAACGACTCAGCCACCCGAAAAGTCGCTCAGTGGGGGGGGGGGGGGGGGGGGGGGTAGTGAGCACAACTTTTTTTTTGGTCCTCGAAAATTTTAAAATTTGCACCCCCCCCCCCCCCCTTGAGCGCCAGGGGGGGGGCCCAACCCCCAAAATAGGTAAAAATCGCGTGATTTTGCATGGTTTTTTTTCTCAAGGGGGGAGCCCGGGCCCCCCGGCCCCCCGGCCCCCCCCCCCCCCCCCCCCCCCCTGGATCCGCCACTGTTGCATAGGTTGCTGAAATTTCTCTCTTTTTTTTTTGTAAATCATACCTTTTATGCGTTTGTTGGAAAATTACTAATTCCCAAATTAATAGTTGGGCAAAAATATGCTTATTAAGACGGTTTCATGTCAGGGTCTGCAGAACGACGGGGCTCGGGGGCTCGAGCCCCTCTCACTTTTTGAAATAGAGGAAAAGAAAGAAAGAGAGAGAAAACAATGTGTGACCTACCAATGTCACAAATGAGATATCAAAATATGCTCATCTTACGGGATGAGCTTACGGGGGCTTCACCCCTGGATGCTCATCTGACCATAATTAAATACCTAAAACCTTAGAGCTTCCAGGGGCTCTGTCCCTGAACCCCACCAAGGGCCCTAATGAGGGCCTCTGGATGTTCATCTGACCGTAATAAAATACAAAAAACCTCTGAGCTTTTGTTAAGATGTGTGACGTCGCAGTGCGAAAAATTAGATCTTATAAAGAGGAAAAAAACCAATCATATTGGCAGATATGCAGGGGTTATAAGCACATTCTTATAACGGAAGACTGAAAAGACCTTTGATAAGTAACACAAGTATATCTTCTAGATACGTGCGAACGTAGAGAGCGACTTTTGGGAGGAATTGCTTTTAGTCGCTTGAAATTAGCTAGGGCGCGTTTAATGATGAGAGGAAAAGGGGACACCTATCAGGAAAGAAAAAGAGCATGTGCCAAAGTACAAAGAGTAATTATCAGAGGTGCAAATGGGGCATTTCTTACACCCTCGAAAAAAAGCACTCACCAGGAATGGAAAAAGTCAGTCATGAGATTAGGAAATGAGTATTTGTCGACGGAAAAGGAGCCCCATCAGATTTTGATAGGGGCATTTATAAGAGGTAAAAAGGGGCATTTATGAAAAGGGGATAGGTCCCTTACTAGAAAGGGAAAGGGGCACGTATCATTGTTAAAAGGGAAATTATCAGAGGTAAAAAGAGGCACTTATCGCACCTTAAAAGGGGCAATGACCAGATATGAAAAGATGCACTTATGTGAATGAAAAGGGGCACTTGTAAAAAAAGGAAATTTGTGTATTAGTTGAAATAAAATGGGCACCGATCAGAATTTAAAGGGGCATTTATCGGAGATGAAGGGGGCACTGATCTAAAGTGAAAAGGAGTAACTTGTTGTACCTGAAAAGGGTCAATTACCAGAGAAGGGGCACTTATGAGAAGGGGAAGGGGCTCTTTTTTTAATGGGGCACTTATCATTAGGAAAAGGGGCACTTATTAGAAAGGAAAAAGGGCACACGTGAAAATATAAGGTGCGCTTATCCGAGTTGAAATTGGGGTAGTTATTAAAAGGGGAAGGGGCACTTCTTACAAAAGAAAAGGGGCACTTGTCAAAGTAAAAGAGGCACCTCTCAGATTGAAATAGGACAATTATCAGAGGTGAAGGGGGCACTTATCAAAAGTGAAGAGAGGCACTTCTCGTACCTAACTAGGGGCACTTACTAGAAATTAAACAGGGAACTTATTAGAATGAAAAATGGACACTTATTGCAAAGAAAAATGGGAACTTGTCGAAGGAAAGGGGCACGTGTCCGAATAAAAAGGGCACTTATCAGGGTAGAAAAGGGGAAGGGGCACTTTTACAAATAAATAGGGGCACTTCTTAAAAAAATAAAGGGGCACTTTTCATTTGTAAAAAGGGGCACTTTTCGGGTGCTTGAAAAAGTACTTGAAAAAGTAACTGTGTTCCTCCCCCCCCCCCCCCCCCCCCCCCCCCCCGGAGGGCCACCTCTGTTTATAATATTCACAGTGCATGCTGCTCAAGGCTGGAGCTCTATTGAGATAGGGTACATTGAAATGATGTTGATGAGACTTGAGGTATATAATTTGCACATCAATTATCAAGTTCAACGAAGTGATATGGTTATGGCTATATACAGTCTGGTCTCATATTTTGATTACAATTTTCAATTCTAGAAGGCAAAATTAATAATTAAAAAATTCCACTAAATCATGAGAGAATCATGAATCACGCAATTAATACCTTGATTTGATTATCATAAATGACGATTTTCTAGCTCTGGTAGCTCTGTTGATGAAGCAATGACATGATTGAACACACTCGTAACAACAACCCGAAGCGAGACTAATTAAGCAGGATCCATAGCAATTATGACGTCAGAGGTACGCGAAAGTACACAGCTACAGAGAAGTGCACAACTACGATACATGTCATTTTCTGTACGGCGAACAGGTGTATTGTAGCACGTACATGTATCACTATCAGTATCAAATACGCAATTTTGCTCAACAGAAATCGACTGAATATTGAAAATGTGACAAATTTACTGCTGTAGATCCTGCCTTGGAATATGACCAACATGACAATAGAGTAAGCTATAAGTACTACTTGAATATATATAAATTATAATAAATAATCATGATAATTAGATCATAGAGGTCTACGGCATGGCATATGCATAATTATGTGTGCATGGCGAATGAAAATGAAATGATTGTTGTTGTTGTTGCTGGGTGTTAAGGCTGACCAATCTGAAATGAGATTTTTCTCATGAAATTCATCATCGAATGTACCAGACGATATATTTATTTTTGGTAGCCAATTAGATTTAAGATTGAAGAAGGGGTATAAAAGGAGAAAAAACCAAATTAACAATTTAGTAGATTTTTAAAAATTGTATTGAGAGGTGCTCACTCACCGTATAATTAATGGAAAGAAACAAAATAGAGCACCGGTAGTAAAATGGGTAGTATGTTGTGACAGAACCTGCGAAAAAGGTTTTCTCTAAATAATCACACATGTTTGTGTGAATGTGTGAGAGGGAAAAAGTGGGAATACCTTTTCCGACCACTTCATATTTTTGGCTAGATCTAGACAGAAATAACCGTCTGGTATGGGTCATTCTTTAATAAAACTGACATTTGTCGACGCGGTCAGAGGAGCCAGATGCAATCTCGGCGGAACAATTAACCGTCGATATCAGAGACTGAAGCTTTCGGTGACTTTTTGGCCTGACAGAGATACATACATGAGAATAATATATTAAGGTATTTTTTTGTAATGATGTCTCTTTCGTGACAATGATTGTGATATTCAAAAAATGATAACAAAATTTGAAACCCAATCCATGATCCAAATTTCATTGCCCATGTTATTTATAGTATATGAAACTTGATCTTTATTCTTTCCAATGATAACTTGTTTTCTCACTCAAACTGTTAAGTCTATATATAGCAATATAGGTTAAGCCAAGGAAAAACTTTTTCGCTAGATTCCGGCAAAATCGGCTTGTAAATACGTGTTCCCCCCCCCCCCCCACCCACCCCTTGTGCGTGCGGCAAGGATTACTATCTGTGTATGAGGAAGGTTGACAAATGTCAGCTTTATCAAGAATTCCCTATACCAGATGGTTATACTTCTGTCTATAGGAAGGGGGTCGGGGGATAATTATGTAAAAATTTCATTTTCCTTCTCAATATGGAGGTCATTTTGAAATTCTTTATTGATAGGTTACTCCTTACATAATCATGTATTGGAGAATAAAGCATAATGAAATCGTGATTACCATAATCACACTACTAACATTTGCATGGGAAAAAAGGAAAAAATATCTATAATTCAGTCGTTATCACATTCAACATACCTGAAAGATAACATTTTTTCAGTATACAACCCCGAGTGGAGATTGTCAAATGTGGAAATGAACTCATTGTTTTTTAATCCTATATTGCATTCTTTATCTGGGCAATAACATCAAACGAACCAATAGACCTGGAATGTATTGACTAAAATGTTTAAATGCACGTTTGATGGAATCAGAATATTTGAATGCATGTTTGATGGCATTGGAATATTTGAATGCATGTTTGATTGCACTGGAAATAATTGAATACATGTTTGTAACCCTTCTTGCATTGTCTTTAATACAGTCCTCCAGCCTACCCGGGCAATAACGGCAAGCAGACCGATAGCAACTGGAACACGGTCCCTATCATCACGGTCAGCTCACCTAAAAATGCCGAAAAATCTGGGAATAAACTCGTCAAGCTACCCAAGGTAAGGAATGTACGACATAGGCTAGCTGCTTTAAGGTGGTGACGAGTCATGTATTGTTTAATTTGTTTTTGTATTCATTGAGAATTTGTCATAGAATATGTGTATCAATTCATATCTCTTCTCTCTGTCTCTTGCCTTCTCTCTCTCTCTCCTGACTGCTTGTCTCTCTCTCTCTCTCTCTCTCTGACTTTAATATTCACCTTTTGATCGATTAGCAAGGCCTGTGAACACATCTTCCATTTTCCATCCTTCCACTTGCAAACAATTATTGTTGTTGTATATCACGTTGTATCACCTTAAAACTATTGTTTATTTGCCTTGTAAACACAAATCCTTGTAATTGTGTCTACATGTAGATGTACATCCCAAGATTTTACTTTTTTCCGGGGGTGTATTTTCTTAAAGTAAAATAGGCTGAATTGAAAATGACACATAATTCATCATCAATCACTTTGGCAAGACATTGATCTACATTTACCACACTCCACCCAGGTGATGTAAATGGGTACCTGGCAGAAATTTATTCTTTGAAATGCTAGAGCGCCCAATGGCAGCACAGCTAAAGCCGGGATAATAATCTTCAAGTTTGGAAACGCTTAGTGATTCTAATAAGCGCTATATAAAAACTGAGTATTATTATTATTATTATAATCATTATCTCCTTATTTTCCAACTATTCAGCTCCCATCAGAGCGATTTCGGTACACTCTGTGGCACGAGCTGCGCTCCAATGACCTAAAGGGCAGTGACCTTCACTTCCCCAGGGTGCGGAAGGCACCGGAGGTCAAGGAGAAGATCTTTAAGAAGGTCCAGGATGATCAGGGTAGGAAGATTCATCATGGCAAGATGGGGCAGGAGAGAAAGGCCCATCAGAAACAGGCGGAGGACTGGGAAAATACAAAGGTAATTAAAGACGTCTTAAAACAGTCATTGCAGTGAAGGCATCATTTTAAGAAAATTTTGTAAAGAATGATTGTGAATTGTTCCACAAGGAGGAGGGGGCACAAGGGGTCATGTGCACTGCAAATCAAATGGGGAGGCTGTAGTATTTACATGTAATGTTTTCACAAGTAGCTTTTGATACTAGTGAATGTAGTGGCCTTCCAGACTTCCATACATGTATCAAGTTTAGCAAACGGACACAGTAATAAACGCACACTACACGATCCATGCAAAGATGTAAATTATCACATGTTTATTTCTATGTAAAACTTGTACTCTAAATATAACAGAGGCATATGGGGGACTGCAAAACCAAATGATTTGCTATAGAAAAATGGAGAAAAAAGACAGAGTTTGAAAATGCCTCCTGTACACTTCCCTAATCAATAGCCTGGTTAAATCACATTTTATATGCTGAGTAAGACTGGTAACCCTTTTCCGTACCTTTTATGTAACCCCCCCCCCCCCCCCCCCATAATGCCCCCTCAATCACTGGACCTACATTCCACCTGTGTCTAGCTGCAACGATTGATACCAATTGATATATTTCCATTACTTTCTATACAGCATGCGAACCTGTCATTTCAAGATCTCCACCATGACTACCAGAAAGAGAACCTTCATCGCATCATGAAGAGATTGATCAGAGCGGAGACCGTTCAGATCAGAGACGATAATATCATCAACCTTTCAGACATCTCATTCAACTGGTAAGAACATTATAATGCTAATAATCTGTTCTTGTAGCACTTATCATATTATTTTATGATGTATAGTTGAAGTTCAAGTTCATTTTATTCAAAACCAAACAGAGATCGATTAATATAACCTTTTACATAAAAAAGAAACTGCAGGGAGTACATTAATAAACATTAACTTGATTACATCATAAAAATGAATGGTTTTAGGACCCCTTTAGGCTAAGCTTGTGAGCGTGGCCCTATACTCAACAAAATACATACATTAACAATATGGCAAGGTGAATAAAAAGAATGTAAGGTATCTACAAGGGATGTAAATACTAAGCTACATAATATAGAACACACAAATATAGCATACATATGCATTTCTAGAGTTTTGAAAGATTGTTGTTTATATTTGTTCAAGTGTATATGGGCCAATTTAGCTCACTTTTGCTCTATTTCAACTTAAACACTGGTTTTATGTATTTTAGGTATGTATGTATTTCAAGGATTGTTGTAAAAAAAATCATTATTCTCTTTGCTCTCTTTCTAAATAGCTGTAGAGAACTGAATGCAAGCAAAAACTTCATTACATCATTCAAGGTGAGAAAACTGTGGCATAGTGTGAGTCGATCCTGCCATTGAAGGGGCTCTGACATCATGGAGTGGGGTGGTGGTGGGGGCACCAGTAATACTCTGAAAATGAAACAGACATATACAAGGCCTCTGATTAAGGGAAGGTGCTGAAGGCGGTCCTTTCACCTTTTTTCTACACCTTTCTCCCTCTCTTTTCTTCCCACTTTTGTTATCAAGTAGAATTGTAGATGCATATTTTTCAGATGTTTTTTGTTTAAGTCATGTGTGAAGTATTATGTCTTAGAAATGCAGGTAGTTTGTTCTATAAGTGTGGAGCAATGGATTAAAAGGATTGGAAGCCAGCTTTTTTCAGGACTTGGGAATGAGAAGTGAAAGAGCTGTGAAGTAGATTAAACAGAATATGATGTTCTATGATGTTGTAAAACAAACCTGAAATTGAAGAAATGGATGTGTGATGTTTACTCTCGATAACTCTTCTCTATATCTTCCCCTTGCTTTTATTCTAGAAATTACCAAGATGTCCTGTTTTAGAAGTACTTAACCTCAGCGACAACTCGATCAACTCATTTGATAGCATCAGTGTCTTGAGGAAGACACGCCTGGAGTCTTTGGACCTGAGAAGGAATCCTATCTGCTTCATGGAGAACTACAGACAGAGGTATATATACACCCCAACCTCTGTAATGAGCAGAACAATCTGGGAAATAGACTGGTGAAAGTTTATTAAATGAAATCCAACAAGAAAATAAGAAAGTTATGAATTTTTGAAAGTTGTAATAACTACAGGCCTTTGTATTGGAATTTCAGTTCTTGTAAAGCGCATAATATGTTATGAAATAACATCTCTATGCGCTTCCAAAGATCTTTGGAAATTACCCTAACTTTAGCTCCCGCAGCTGTAATCAGCGCACAGTGCATTTCAAGGAATAATCCTACCAGGTACTTATTTACCCCACCTGGGTTGAGTGTGGCAAACGTAGATAAATGTCTTACCAAAGGACATTAGTGCCGCAGCCAGTGGATATGCCTGTGACATATCCACTCGACCATGAAATATGACAATGCTTTTGAAATTGCCTCCCCCGCCCCCCCCCCCCCTCCCCCTCCTCCAGCCCATTTGAAATATCTGCTCCCATATTTGATTCTCCAACTTTCAACATTTTCTTTCCTTTTCTTTCTTTCTATCGTCCAGGATATTTCAGGCTCTACCCAACTTGAGAGTGCTTGATGGCGTCTCACGGTTACCGACGGATGATGGAGAGGGTCTGTCCTCGACCGGTGGCTGCATTGTAATGTGATCCAGAGCAATGGAAACTTGACACTCTCCGGGGCTCTTGAAGTCCTATCCCACCCTCAACCCCCCCCCCCTACTCTTGGAACGGAGGGACCGCATGCGTGTTCCCAAAATCTCCGGCTCGTAACGAAAGAAAAAGGTCTACCCTTATTGACTTTACACACCGGAATTGTGCTGAAAGGGGGGGGGGGGTGCTAGGAACACGCATATGTGTACCCTAAATAACACTGAGTGGGGGGGGGGCGGGAGTCCTATACTCCCAATTGGATCCGGGGAAGATACAGAACCCCTACCCCCACCCAATTTGAGATTGCTGGATCTCGCTTTAACCATCCTTATATTTCGCAGAGCGCCTCTCCTCGACTGGTTGCTGCTTCATTAATGTGATCAAGATGAACTGTAGTAAATGGGCGATCTTCTGGGCCTAAGTTCAAGATGGTTTACCCCTCAGCGCGTTATGCTCACGTCCACATATTCAGGCAATTAAGGGCAATACTTGATTTTGGGTGATTCTCTTCATGAATTGAAACACTAGACTCCCACACTTCTAGGTGAATCAAGGGAGTCGATAGAATAGGAAAAGTACTGACGTCATGTTCACTCGTCATACAGGTTACTGATGGCAGGGCCTGGGCACGACGTTCACCATGACATCATTCAAGCAATGAGCTGAAGCAGGGTTAACTCAGTCTTTGGGTCTGGTGTGATCACCACGTCATTGATTACCACATAATTGTTTGGAACCAGCAACCTTGACAACTTGGCCAGTATAATGTCATACTTCGGTACTCTACACGACACCATGATTTTTTTTCCTTCTTTTTCGTCTTGGTCCTACTTGACCCCTCTGGCCTAGATTTGCATAATAGTGACCCCAGCAGTAAAGAGAGCATGTATTACCAATCACTTATGTATGGTTCTGAATTGGGATATATTACAGTGGGTGATACAAAGGTACATGTTTTGAATCTTTGGTTCTTTGTCGAATTTTGTATGGATAAATTGTTAAATATGTATTTTAAGTGTGATTTATATAAGCCATCATCCGTCCAACTTTTGTAATCATACATTTCCTTCTTTTTCGAAGTAGGTGCTTAATAGAATATGATTCACATTCATTTTAATTCTGAACAATTATTTTATTTAGTGTAAATAGTGTGCTTTAGTTGAATTGTTTTTATAAATGTTTTGTCATTGTTATAAGCAGATAACTGGTAAGACTATTCTCATATGATATTCAAGGATGAATTCTTGAAAAAACCACTAGTCACTTATGGATTATTTAGCACATTTTTGTAATTTCTCACAATCATGATTATGGACCTAGTGCACCACTTCCACTCCTGCATTCTGTTCTGTAAAGTGAATAGAGACATGCAATTATGCCTATGTGTTATGTGCTATACATAAACTTTGGATATTACACAATTTGGATGTAACAGGTGGGGAAAATCAACATGTCATATGGGGGATAGTGTCACAGTTGGAATCACCTATTTTATATTGTAAAAACCTATGACAGGTATTTTTAGATGTCCACATTATAGGTACTATGTCCCATTTGCAGGCCAAAAAAATGAAAAGGTTAAACTCCAACAGCATTTGAAAGGTAAAAGTAATTTAGAACTCCCCTTAAAACAAAAGGGCTTGAAAATGTCTTTTAGTGGGAAAATGACGATTGTTAGTTGTCGAATCGAATCAAATTTAGTGATCGCGGTCATATAATTAAATAGTTTGCTTTTTAAAGATTCAATCAGTTTAATTTTGGCCATGGGTCATTGATGTAGACAAATGCTCATTTTATGTTTGTTATTACCAAAGGAAAAAAAAGAAGTTAATCAGTCACTCAATAGTGTCTGACAGTGAAGTCTAGCAAGTAAACGGGTTTCCTTGCATCATTTGAATACCGGTACTAGGACACTGCTAACGTTTAAATTTCACAGATAGGACATACGTGACATATTCATAATTCCTGCAAAGTTCAACAGAATTTGTACATATTTAATCTAGTGGTCTACATGTAATTGAACAAATCTTTGTAAAAAATCAAACTATTTTCTTTTACAACTATATGTATATCAAGAAACTCTGAATGATTATTTTCAATAAACTACTTTAAAATATCAGAGTGATGGATATTTCAGATTTGTTACAGCAGGACTTTTAAAGTAAGTGAACGAATTGTTTAAAGAAGAACACAGATAAAGTGATGTTCTGAGGGACAGAGAGGAAGAGAAAGAAAGATGAGAATTGAGGAAGCGTATGGACGTGTAACTGGCCATTTCGTAATGTAAACAAATTTAATGCATACGCCTTTGTGAAGTGCCTCCTAACAAATTATTTCATTCACCTGTTATAAATTATCAAAATAGTCAGAATGCATATTGCTTATCTTACATTTTGTGAGGTTAAGCAAGCCAGGTTTGCCTTACCTAGCAAAAACTAATGTATACAACTTGCATTCTGACTACCGGTATTCAAATACAATACACCCTTTCATGGTTACAAGAGTGCATATGCGCTGACCATGGCGCCATTGTAAATTACGAGTAAACAAAGTTGTTTACTCGTAATTTACAATGGCGCCTGTGTCAATATGATGTGAGTGCACAGCGCAGGCAGTGACGCAACAATACATGCACATCTGAAAACATTGATGACGCAATGTTTACTCGCAAATTAAAATGGCGACCTTAACCGTGAAAGGGTTTATTATTTGTAACAAGTGAATGAAGTAGTTCATATAGATTCAATCACTTCACAAAGACATAACTGAAATAAATGAATCACTGCTTTGTTTTGCCATTTAGAAGTTATTTTCAAACAGTTCCATCCTGCAAAATAATCATATCATGAGTCTGAATTTTGCTTTTAAAAAGTTTCTGGTTAAACAGAATATGATCATTAATATGAAGAAAAAAACATGTTGGTACATTATTAATGCTCTAACGTTCTAGTAAAAACATAAAAAATCTGTTGTATTGGGTAAACATCCACATGTATTATTCTAAAGAGATTCAATATACTTCAAAACTCAGAAAAACAAAAGACTTGGATGGAGACGTATTAAATTTCATAGATTTGTTCAATTTTTTCATATATAATATGTACATTTATTTGCTTATAAATAATCATAAAATAAAATATATTCTTCAATGAACGACTCGTAATTAACATCTTGATTTTGACAGAATACTACTTGAAAATGTCAGAAATTCTAAAATGATTTCAAATAGAGTTAATATCTCTGCACAACAACAATAGCACATATTGCGATCAAACAAAATTTAGCTCCTACCTTAAAGTATATAATTATAAGTTTTGGTACAGAGATCCAAACACATACGTTTCTAAGAAATTTAGGTATTCTTGAACAAGCCTTAAAGCCCCACTGTCCTACTTTTGTAGCTACTTGCTCCCTCTACATAGAAAACTTCCCAAATCGGTGCCTGTTGGTCCCCCATGATCCTCTTTTTCTTATGTTAGTTGAGAGCTCAGTAGTATTCACTATGAATATGACGGACAAAGAAAGCGGACAAAATATACAGTTCATCAGGTAGACAAAGGAACATCCCTTCACTGCTATTATGTAAAAATGTGTAGAACAGGTGTCACATGCATATTCACCTGTTCTACACATTTTTACATAATAGCAGTGAAGGGATGTTCCTTTGTCTACCTGAGGAACTGTATATTTTGTCCGCTTTCTTTGTCTGTCATTTTCATAGTGATTGACGGTCTTTAAACTAGCTTATTGTTCTAAATATAAATATATGGGAAAGGAGGGGTAATGGGGTTGGTGATTCTTTAACATTAGGGACTTTTAGATTGAGTGGACGAGAACACGATGAACACCGACTGATCATGCATGTCAACGTACTTAACTGCCCATGTTGACTACAATTAGAAATCTTTTAGATTGCACTCGACGATATACATGCATGCAGGAAGTAACACTATGAACATCACGGACAAAGAAAGAGGACAAATACAGTTCATCATTCTACCCTCAACAAAAGAACATCCCTTCACTGCTATTATGTAAAAAAAAATGTGTAGAACGGGTGAATATGCATGTGACACCTGTTCTACACATTTTTACATAATAGCAGGGAAGGGATGTTCCTTTGTCTACCTGAGGAACTGTATATTTTACGCGCACGCGGCATACTAGTACCTTGAGCATGTAAAGGCGCTATATAAATACCAATATGTATGTATGTATGTACTAGATTTAGGAAAATCAAGGTTGACGCATTCTCGATCGCCGACTGAGACGACGTAACGCATGCGCAATGCCTTAAAATGACGTCACACGTTGCAGTCAAAGCTGTCGACGTGCAAATCTAAAAGTCCCTAATGTGAGACCCGTTGACTCGAAACCACCAATTAGTCACTAGACTTTGTCATTGTTTCATTTTGCGTATTTTCTGACACAAGATTCCAAACTTTCCATTGAAATATTACACTCGTAGAATCCACTTCAATTTCAGTTTGGTTAAATTTATTCAGAAAAATTATGACCTTTTTCTTATATTTAGACTATATTTTAAAGAACTCAATGTTATGGTGTGAATAGTATACAGTTACAGATTAAAAGTAAAATCAAGAATTTCAATGACACCTTAACAGAGAAATTTAGTGGCATAATGTCTAGCAACAAACAATGATAGCTCAGTTAAAAGTTAGGAAAGCAGCTATAAAGGATTTCAGTATAACTGTCATTTTTTTATCAATAAATATATATATTTCTTTACTTTCACCTTTGCTTGAATTGTGCATTAATCTACAAGAAAATGCTGGATACAAGATGTTGAGGGTTAGGGTTAGGTGGAAGTGAATAACAAGCATCAATCTTCAGCGCTGGATTTAAAGAAAGCGTTTGATACTGTAGATCACAATCTGCTCGTAAAGAAACTTGAATGGTACAAAATAGTGCATCTTGGTTTAAAAACTATTTGAGTGAGCGCACGTTTACGGAAACAATTGAATTTGCTCCCTATGGGGAAAGGTGGTCGTAATCTGTGTATAGTGCTTAATAAGCAGAAAAAGTTCCTTTACAACTCTGAGATATTTTTCATTCTTTATAGTGTAGAATGGCTTGCTAGGAGAGAATGTAAAGGGTGGGATTTGAGGGTAAGAATATAGATAGGCAGAGAGGAGGAGGGAAAGCTCTAGAGGAGAACCGAGCCGCAACGAAAGCAATCAGAGACTCAGAAGCCAGGCATCAGGACTAGGTTCTACCTACTCAGCCGCTTTTGGGCTGAGGGAGGGGCGGCGGATCCGGAGGAAGCGGCCCAACCTAGTCAATACATGCAGAGAGGCTTACCCCTGGGTCCGAGGGTGATGTACAAGGAGAGAAACAGCAGCTGGGTGACAAGGGATCTTATCTAAAATGTACATGGGGACAAGCTCTCATTCAGGGTAAGGACATAGTGGACAGACCCAATAATTAATGCAGAGTATAACTTGTGTTATGCTTGTTCCAATCCCTTTCCCTCGATTTTTGCTATACAGCCCCCATCAAAGGGAATTATTCAAGTTAGGTTTAAGTTAGGTTAGGTAAAGAACATTTACAGTTATCTGTCTTTCGGACAAGGATCACATAGTTAAAAACATTAAATGCCTGTGCTTACTCCAGTTCTCCCAGTATGTTTAAAGCATTTTTCTGATTTAAGATTCTTACTTACCAGACACTACGATGTCCATTATAAATGTGTATTATAGTTTGTTATGATATTGTATGTATAGTACGAGTGTAGTCACCAATATAAAAAGATGGATATATCAGTCAATACACAATAAAAAGGAAGCTTAAGTATATATAAAAGGAAATGCTGGTCTGTTGATTATGAAAGGCAATTGATGGTTGTGTAGTAAAATCAGCAGACAATTGTTGATGATAACATTTCGCTACAACATGTTTACTCATCATTTCCCAAATTTGGAAATTAGTTGTTTGTTTCTTTGTGTTCTTCTTGTATTTTATGAAATGTCCATTATTTTGTAATTGTTTATGTCTGTAGGTTTTTTAAATGGAATGTGGAAAAATGAATAAATGAAATCAAATGTGCATGTACTTCTGAATTCCTGGATATGGACTGAAAATGTTGCATGTATCAAGAGTTGTATACTAAGAGGGTACAGAAAGACATTGTACATCAGTAGATGAACTTCTTCAATCACGGACATAGACTGAATTTCTCAACATATTGAAAACATAATCACTGTGACAATGTGCTCTAAGGAGGCGACTCTCATTACAGGTGCAACCAACAGTTATTGGAGCTAAAGATAGTGAGGACAAGGAAAGAAAAGATCTCAAAGAAACAGTAACTAATCTTTATGAGTCACCCACATTTGGAAATGAATCACAAGACAAGTTCACTATGCAAACAGAAGAAGGAAACTTGTTATGACTATAACATGGAGGAATATTGGTCATGTACATGTAGTCCTTCTCTCTTCTTGATGTATTCTCCTTCTCTCTCTCTTTATCTTTGTCTCTTTCGGCTGTAGCTTACTTTGTCTTTATTGATTATAGTTGTATTTATTAAATGTGCTGGCATGTCTCCATAAATTAAAGCTAGCCCGTTCCCACACTGGGATATAGCCTTTATAACCCTATTGCCATTCACAGTGTTAATCCATCATGTTCGATACAATAATTACTACTACTAGACTTAAATGCCATTCATAAATCTGTAATCCACTTGTATACTTAATGGAGATTAAGCTCTATGAAAGGAGATTTAGATATGAGACAGGTTCTTTGTGGTCATTCATGCTTTGTGACTATTCTTTGAAATATGCTCTTTGAGGAACACTTCAAAGGACTGTGTCTTTGGTCATGAGTGGTGATCTTGAACCAATAAGAGTAAAGTCTTACATTAGCCCCCTGCCCCCCTTTAACGTAATTACCAATAAGATGATCCGAGGAAAAGTCAAGTATGAATGTTTAATGAGGTATAAAAGTAGTTTGCATGAATGTTTTGCTCACCTGGTTCCACCCCAACTTGGTCTCCCCTACTTGTACCCCTGTCCTCCCATCTCCTTCAAGCTGTCCCTGGACTAACTACTAATTGCTGGATGTGAAAATCAACAATTTTTTTCCAACCAGATCGGTTCGATGGGAGTAACCCCTGGAGAGACTACTAGGCACATTTTGAATCATGTGCACTTGTCATTGTCTGGGATTCGAGACAGAAAGCTCAGTTTTTGGCGGCAAGCTTACGTGGCCCGGGTCAGGAAATCTTGGTCGACTTAGAACCACATGCCCAGCAGAACTACAGTTCACTCTGTCAGAGACTAGAACAGAGGTTCGGACCAGGGAAAGAGGCGGAAACTTTTCTGACAGAGCTGAGGGCCCGGGCAAGGAAATCAGGAGAAAACTTGCAAGAATTGGGACAAGCAGTGCGGCGCCTTACCTCATTGGCATACCCGGAGCTGAAACGAGATGTGCATGAAAGACTAGCACGAGGACATTTTTCTGATGCAATCTCAGACCCGGAGATTAGGGCAGGGATCTTTCTCGCTTGTCCTAAGAACTTGGATGAGGCCATCGGGCAGCAATCGAGACAGAAGCATACCTCTTGGCGGAGAGGCAGCGACAAGGTATCAGGAAGCCAGAAGCCAAATTCACCAGGAAAATTCAGGAAGTTACGTCAAACGAGAACACATATGAGGGGAGGACGCTGCCAACCCCTGAATGGGCCAAGGAGTTAGGGAAGCTGATGAGAGAACTGGTGGCAGAAAGGAGGGAACCACTCCAAGCTGGTGGACCTGGACGAGGACGACAGCAAGGGTCACCCTCAGTTTGCTTTTATTGTGGTCAGGAAGGACACTGGAAGAGGTCGGGAAACGGGAACGGGCCTTCCCAGCTGGCCAGGGGGAGGTCAGGGCCACAGGGCTATGGACATCAACAACGGAAAACGTACTAGAACATGATTCAGGACAAAGATTATATGAAAAGTGGAGATAGGGAATGGACACTGGAAGTATGGGAGCAGGTAACCTTAAGACAGAGCCAATATGAAAGGGTTGCATATCCCAGGAAAAGTCATACCTCCCAAACCTATTACTACAATATGGAGTCCGTACAGTGCCTGAAATGTTCCAAGGACGTATCCGTCAACGAAATCGCTCCAGAGGCATCAAAGAGAAAGGCACGGTTCTGGCTTGGAGTTCCATTGCACAAGGTGCTTGAACACCTATCCCAAGAGGTGGAACCTGAGCAGCCACTATAGAGACAATCACCAGGAACATGTAAGTGAAGCAGAGGCAATCCATGGCCCCATCACCAAGGAGGCAGTATGCACTGATACCGTCGGAAAAGTGAAAAGAGCTCCCAGAGAGGAGGACACCACAAAGAAACAAAGAGGAGAAGAAGCTGGGAGCTTGAGTCAAAGTCCCAGAAAGAAAACTGCATCAGACCTACAGGCAGCGGAGCCGAGAGACGGAACCCCCACACGAGACAAAGCCCTGAACCTCAGCACTAAACATTAATAGCATCAGGGAAAGTGCAAGACCTGAAGCTCGGAAGAGGGCGGCAGGTCTGAAAAGCCAAGTTCCAGTTCCTCCAAGTCGCATCCCGTCCCAAGTCCAGTCACGAGCAAGCAAGTAATAGGCAAGTAACTTTCTTCTAATATCCTCCCTTTCTCTTTAAAAGATTTGGTGATATTGTGTGGTTCTTGTGAATGAATTTAAATATTTTGTTGAGTCTGAAGTTAGATGATTATTTGAAGAAAGTTTAAATGATTTTAATAAAGTAATAATTAAGTAACACGTAATCAGCCTGTGTCCGTGCCTTGCGTTGTTTTTAAAGAATCTGGTAATTAATATAAATCAAAAGTGGTCCCTTTGTGTAATTTTCTGCCCGGGACGGAGTGGTTGCCCCCACGGACTTACCACAGAAACGAAAAGGGGAAGGAGCTGGGAGCTCGTCTCAAATTCCCAGAAAGAAAAATTCATCAGATTGGCTGAACCCCAATCTGAGACCAGTCCTTGAGCTACAGCACTAACAGCACCAGGGAGAGAGAACCTGAAGCTCGGAAGAGGGCGGCGGGTTTGAAAGGGCCCGATCTGGTCCACTGCAAAAGAAAGCAGGAGACTAGTGACTACGAGAGTAATAGCCGTAACTCCAGTGACACCGATGCGAAGTTAGCTACTCTGCCGGATCGAGCAACTTACAGATAGCAGCGCCAACGAGGATACGTGGGGACAATCACCGACGGAAAGGGTGCTGCCTGAGGCACCCGAATATGAATCAAGAAGACTATCACTGTTTGGGCCCCTCTCACTCCACGCAGTGATCAACAACCAATGCATGGAGATTATCGAGAAAACATGGCAGGAAACATTCAGTAAAAAGGGCCAACTGCATCGTCGGCTCACCTTCAATAGACATTACACCCTCAAAGACATCAACGGAGAGAAATTTGAAAGACGATTCGAAGACATAACGGGACGAGAAGAACATTAATACGCTCACAAACAACAAGTGTCGACTGGAGAGGCTGGAAGAAGGGCAGCAGCAGCTGACGCAGTTGGTAAAACAACTGCTTTTGTCCAAATCGGGAGTGGCCGTTGATGTGTAAGACCTGAGGGAGCCATTTACAGAACCAGTGAACACCGAGGACGAGTTTGACGCTCTTGCATCAAAGCTTGTTGACGTGGAGTATAGGAAGAAGATGGTGAATTTAGAAAAATTTGAATTGTAGTGTCAACTTTACTTGATCATCCATTAACCCCATCTTAACTGGGAGGAGGGTCAATCCCCCCTCGACTTTTCGCGCGTTCATTCTGCAACGCACACAGATATTGATGCTCCACTTCATTTTTCATTGAAGTCTTGCGCAACTTTCGAGACCAATTTTGCGACTAACAGATATACTGTTCTTAAGTCATGTGACCTTTCTCAAGTGATCCTCGGCACCAAAATCGCTAAATTTTGTGGTTTGTGTACAAATCCTATGGAAAATGATTTTTTCCTAGAATACACAAAACCTTCGAAGTCAAGGTCAATATTGGAAAAAAATGCTTTACAATATTTTGTGTTTTATTTCTATGTTTAAATATCTATTTCTGGACCTCTAGGAAAAACAGAGCCATTTTGATAATGGCCCAGAATAGAGCATTCCAGTAGTTTTTTAATTCTCGATATGTACTATATCTGTAAATTGTACTCTTGTATATATTTGAATTTTTATACGGAAAATATAACCAAACCAAACCAAAACAATATATCTTTTTTTTTAAAGGCTGGCTCAGATCCATCCATAAAACATGTTTGTTACACTCTGGTAATGTTGGAATTGAGTTTGCTTTCTCTTTTCAAAATACTCCCCTTTTCTAGTAATTACGTATAGATTCACACAGATTAATGCACAATTCAATTAAGGAGATGGTCCCATTTGACTTCCAAGACAAATGTTGTACTGGTAATGTATACTTATTCTTGTTATTGTTTATATGTCCTTTTTGCAATATTCAGTGATGATAGTTGTTTGATATTTTAACTTCTGTAACCTATTTATTTATTCGTTACTGCCATTTTATTATGTATACTTGATGTTATATTGTACCCAAGACAGGTGTCAGTCTTCAGACTGTTTGTTCTTGGATTTTTTTTTGTGATTTGATTTGATTTCAATAAATCCTATATATAAAATATTTCTAGAAAAATGTCTCTGAATATTCTGTACACTGATCTGCATACTGACAATCAGTGAGTATGCATAGAGGGCTACATTTATTTTCATGAATATGGTTTATCTTTATGTAATATTAGGAATGATTCATACAAGGAAAGATGTTTCTTTGGTGTTGACAAAATACCAAAATCCTTAGTTTAAGGTTGGCAAGAAATATGTCTCAATGATATAAAGACTAAAGCAGATAAAACTTGACTTCATACATACATTTGAAATGCGTTTTCATGAAAATCAACAAAACTTAGACAAATGACAAGTTTGTCCGAAATATTCTTCCATTAACTCAATACAATATATATGTTAATTTGGCCTCAAAAACTTAAAGCTTCATACTGCAGCATTTGTGCTATTAAATTCGGGCGTAGGAGCCAAACAATTTAGCCCAAATAGTCTGCCCTCCATAACAAGACCTGATTGCTTGGCACCGAGCATGGAATACTGGATGGTTATATTGGCGTGACTCCTCCTCCTGTCTCCTGTTATCTCCTGTCGTAGTTCTGCAAACGGACTAGCCTTGAAGCCTGGAAGCCGTCTCTGCATATTGGGCACTCCGGCTGGAAATGGATAAAATGTAAAAACGATAATTAATTTTCTGCAAAACATAATCAGCAATAATTTAGAAGAAACAAACTATTTTGATATAATAGACACTATATAAATACATTTTATAAGAGCTATGGAAAAAACAACCCAGACTTTAGCCAGAGTTCCGAACTTACTTTTTTCCTGGGGTCCAGATCAAAATATTGGGGGTTCTAGGATCACCAGCCCTGTTTACATTTGGATTCTTTTGGGGGAGGGGGCAGGTCTGTTTGTACTAAACACTTGTTAAGCTGGATGCTCTCCGCCCCCCCCCCCCCCCCCCCCAACAAAGAATATTCAAATAAATTATAATAATAATAATAATTAATAATACAAACTTAAATTATTTTTTTTTTAAACGTATAAATAAATCAAATTATTTAAAAATTGCTCTAAAAAAGTTATAAATCATCAAAAGTTAAATCATCAAAAGTATGAAATTGGCAGGTATTGTGGACTTTTTTTCTCCATTAGTTATCAGGTAAGGAGGAATTCATTCCATGTACTACTGAAAGTGCCCAACCCCTCTTCCTACAATCTTAAAGGCATCTTTGATCGTGAAGAGTCTTAAAACATCCCCAAATGGATTGTGCTGACAGCCTGTCAAGAATCTCAACAAATCTCCCCAAATTGCGTAAAGAGTATGCAGCGTAGAGATTTTTTTTCTTGTCCTTAATTTTGGTGTAAATAGTCACAACTGAATAAATGATACAAGCCGTTAAAATTAAAACAACAACAACAACAGGCAAGGAAATATCATGACCGGCTCACCTTTGTCCTGCACCATTCCATGATACACCCCCAGCAATAAAGATGGCCACATGGAGGGCAAGTCGTGTGCTGACGTCGTTCCAGGCAAAGTGAACAGCGCCATCTGGGGTCCACAACTTGAGTATCGAGGGTTACACTTCTGCAAGTACAGCCAGCAATATGTTTTTAATGGATTTGGATAGAGCAAGGTTATTGGTCAGGCCAAGAAACTGAATCGTCTTAAATAGGTGTAAGCTTGAGATACAGATACAGATACATGTAATAATTCAAGGCTTCAGAACAGTCAATGTGCTAGTGCCCTCAAGTTAGAAACTCATCATCAATTTAAAATTAGATCCTTCAGACAGTTCTTGAAACCATATATAAAAGCCCTGGAGCTTACTTACTTAGATTTGCTTTTTAATAGCATTCAATGCAAGTTTCATTTAAAAGTCATTAGAAACTAGATGGATCTTTGACTGCGCACGGTCGTAAATGATGCCTCCGCCAAAGAGCAATTTTACAAACCAAAACAGAAGCAATTTTTAAAATGCAAGTTTGGTTGTAATCCATCAACAGGTTCTCAGAATATCATGATTACAGTAAAAGCTATTTTTCATATACATGTATGACCCTTTGATCATTGACCTCATGACCCTAAGTTCATTGGCTCAGCAAGATACATACATGTCTTGAGTTTGGTAATCTGTCAATTGGTTCTAATGGTAATGCGATCACGAGAATGGAACGTACGGACGGACGGACAACCCAAAAAACATAATCCCTCTGGCTCCTTCGTTGCGGGGGCATAAAAATAGCCCAAATAATCATGCAGTGAACTAAAGAAAGACAACTTCATGGGCAATATGAACAAGCTTTTGGCATTCTCAAAAAAATGTTTTACCTCTCCTTCTCCTCAGTTGCTTCAGAAGACTGGTAAATCACCATTTTTCTGAGTTGTAGGGCATGCCATAGTAGACTGACACTAAGCTGAATACCTGATAACCAGCCCAGAATGTGAAAGCTTTTCTGCAGGGCCTGAGATACTGCTGTCCTTCTGACTTGGATCTAAGGGATGGGGATAGAACATGAAAGGAAAATTTGCATCTTAACAGCAGTAGGCTTTTATAAAGTGGCATTTGATTAGAAAAATCTGTCGAGGTAGAATCATTCAAGAAATTTCTTTGCTACTGATTTTTCTACACATGGGTTGAGAGAGACAAAAATAAGAAAAGGGAAAAAATGTGTCTTTGGACATAAGAAGGCTCCAAAGTCAGGATTTAAAGCCACACTGTACTACTTGTACCTACTTGCTCCCTCTATATAGAAAACTTCCCCAATCGGTGCCTGCTGGTCCCCCATGATCCTCTTTTTCTTATGTTAATTGAGAGCTGAGTTAATGAGATAGCCATCTGTCACAGTGACCTCGCTGGCTAGATGGGTGGTCTAGTCCCTTCTAGCTGAACTAGTACAGCTGGCCTTTAAACCAATCAAAGTTAAGCAATGATAAATGATCTCTTCACTCATTTTCTTTTTGAAAACTCTTTGAAATGAAAGTGCAATGATAGGGTTCTAGAAAATCAATTATTTTTTTCCCTTCAGTTTTAGAGATTTGGTTAAACAACTCCCTACAGTGTGCTTAGGACAGCGAAGAAAACTTACATAGTTGACTCCAGAGAATCTCTTTGCAATATGATAGAAGAGGCCACGTAGGTAGAAAACGGCCATGTGGACACGGTTTACAAAGGTCAACGCACGTCTCACGGAGGGCAGCCAAAGGCGGAGCCTGTTGTTAGCCTCCTCGGAGAGATGAGACAACCTGTAGCCAGCCTCCAGGTGAAACAAGAGACGAGCGAGCGTCTTGTCCAGGAGGTAGGGGGCACCGATGTGGAGCGCTACTAGAGCAATGCGTCTCTGCAGGAAGAGATCATCGAATTATGATAATGATAAAATGATGAGGAGGAGGAGGAGGAGGTAGAGTAAGAGGGAGAAGAGGAGGAGAGGGAGAAGAGGAGGAGGAGGAGGAGAAGGAGAAGGAGAAAGAGAAAGAGAAGGAGAAGATGTGAAGAGAAAGAGGAAAACAATAATAATACAGTCATGGGTGGAGATTGGTATCAATGCAGACAACAAATTAAATGGTCTCAAATTTGTTGTAATGAATTAGTTCAATCTGTAAAGCGCTTAGGCACATTGTTGGATCAGTGTATTTAGCGCTATATAAACAAACAGATTAGTATTATTATTATTATTTTTCATAGGAAAAAGATTTTTAAGTCAGAAGTAGGACTCAGCAGATGGTTAAAGATAAACTCCAGTACTGGTTAAAAAAAAAAAAAATTCTCACAGAATCAAACGAAACTTACCCTGAATGTTCAAGATTACAAATAAATGACACGGGCCAAACAATTTTGGAAGAAAATGTATACTGGCTGAGTAATGAGCATAGAAAGACAAGGAAATCAAGGTAGTACTAGCCCCGACACCATGTGTGTTGTCCCATATATAGCTTTCTATGTGAGTGCTTGTTACTTTACAAAGACTCGGTCAAATTTATTATGATTTTGATGACTCCAGAACCTTGCAGTGCACACCAATACTAACATGCTACATGATCAACTGTTTCCGATCCTTTCCACACCTTTTCTTTCACAATGCAATCGCATTACCAGTACTAAAGTTTATCTTTAAATTCCAAGAAAAGTTGCAATCTACTGCCAAAATGGTAGAGTTGGCATATGTGAGAGACAAGAGAGAGTGCAAACTCAAAATGAAAGAGAGAAATGAAAGAGTTTTTCATGCCATACCTGCAACGATGGAACTGCTCTCTTTGTTCCATCAACTTGAAGTATGTTGACATACTCTTCACCAAGGGTCTGGAAACCTGTGGAGATTCACCAATTCATATGGGTTAGTTAAAAGAGAATTGTATCCAACAAACATTAGCTGATTATCTTACTCAACATAGGGTGCATTTATCAACTCTTTTCTAGCCTATAATTAGCATTTTCAAACGTGTTTCAGGCAAATTGGCATGTTGATAAACGTGACATCCTGCAGATCACGTTCGTATACTGAACATTTTTGTTCAATAATCCCCTATGAAAAGTAAGTACATACCTGCAATTGTTGTTAGACCGAAGTACAAGACATCTGACACTACATCAAGTTCCTTTCTCCATCTGGCCCAAAATCTTGTACCTAAATGTAGACAGTAGAGAAAGACTGGAAATAAATAAAATTTATGTATCGTTTTCTCTCTTGGTTTTCTCTGTAGTAAACTAGTAACAATCTTGATAATCTAAAGTCTGGTTTTAAAAAATGGAAAGGGGGGGGGCGGTTGATAAGCCCTGCACATTTGCTTCAGACTTCCTTCCCTTTGGCATGCTATGTGATTATTATAACAAGGCCACAATTCTACATTGTTGAAATGGTACTTGGTACTTGGTTGGGTAATCCCTTTGGCAGCTCACTCAGGAAGCTATACTGGGATGGAAGGTGAGGTGAGTAACTACAAGGAGTGTCATGAATTGCTGGAATGGTGTGGAGAAAGCACTCGTTAATTTACAGTAAAATATGCTGAGTCCAGTGCAAGTAAAAACCAAGCTAGTAAGCTTATATGATGTGGGAACCAACAGGGGGGCTGCATCATTCTGATGGAGGGTAGAGCAGCCTCCTTGAAGTTGGTTATTCATGTTGCATTGACTGCTGATCCTGGCAGATGATTCTAGTTACTTATTGCTCTTATGGTCTTATTGCTCTTATGGTCATCCCCAGCATCTCACAGGAACACAAGAAATTAAAAATAGTACAATGATGGAAAAATTCATTTCATTTTACCCATACTTGGTGCTTTAAGGTAATTGATTTCCCATTCAAGCCTGCCTACTGCTCATTGGAGCACATTGTGTTTACACGGAGAAGTTGGTTTTAATCATGAAGGAGATATTAAGGTTCCTTGTACAGTCAACTATCAGACCTACAGGGGGGGGGGGGTTCACAAAGACTAAGATCGAATTAAGTTGGACTCGAACTAAAGCAGGCCATTCACGCCACTGGTTGCTCTCACCGTTGGTATCACAAGGGATGTCGCACATGTATCTACAGAATTTACTTTTTTGATAGTTCACTGTTGAAGAAAAAAAGTTACTTACATTGTAAACTTAAGTTACATTTAAGACTTGGATTCATATTAGGTATGCGATTTATGCCCCCAAAAAGTCTTGAACCAGATGTAAAATTAGAGGGGGAAAACCTTAGAAATTATTATCATTAGATAATATTTTTCCCTTTAATAATGAACTATCAAAATATGTGAATTCTGCAGATTGTACGTCCTTTGAGAGACCAATGCCACAAATGGTTAGAGGAACTAATGCCATGAACTGCCTGCCATAGTTCAAGTCCAACTTAAGTCGATCTGAGTCTTGTGAAACACCCCCCTGGTTGTATCTCCCTTTTCGCATCAAACTGATAAAGCTTAGCTCATTCAGACAGACAACAGAAGTCAAGAGTATACATGTAGAAAAATGTCTCTACTGATGAAAGTGAAAGAGGTGACATACCTATTAATGACTGGACGACATCATGGATACTGCCTCTAAGCTGAGTTTGGTACGCTTCATCCTTTTGACTGCTTCTGATAATCTCGGCTTGACCTGCCGACTGAAAGGTCGCCATTGAAGATCTGTAATATGAAATGACAATAATTGCATTCATGATTCATCTCCACAACCCTGTACTTATATGTTATAAAAATACAAAATGGTGAAAATATGTACAACCACAACTTCACAAGAATTATACAATTTTGTGAGTGGTAACAACTTTGCTTTTCCAGTTCCATGCCACAATTAGTTGAATATTACTGGTAAGTAGAATTTTTTTTTTTCCAAACACGCCTTCATAATATGGTTAAAAGAACTGATCATGATTTGACTCCGGCAAAATATATATTTAGCCTTGTCGATTACTAAAACAAAATTTTAATAAATCTTAGAATCAGTCTGGGAAATCGACAGCCACCCAAATTGAACAATAAAATATGGGGACAGTGAGAAATATATGTTGTGCATGACCCAAATTCAAACATACATGTACGTCGAGGTCAAAATCTCAACAACCACCATTATTGTAGGAGTAACTTCAAATTACCAAAATATGAAGAAAAAAAATTGAAATTGGGTTGTTTTTTATGAAAATGCCGTTAAAAAGAAATATCAGCAAAGTTTATTGTTTTTTTACCTTAAATTAAAGACGAAGCCCAATGGTCTGAAAATATTTTTTTTGAGAGAAAAAAAGTGCCTTCAAATTTGTATGTAAAAGTTGATACTGCTGTGGAATCATTCTTACCTTTTCTTTAAACTCTCATACTCACAGTTTGCACTTATTGTTTTTATGACTTTTTTTGTCAATTGCAGCAAGTTATGATCCGACCATGAATTCTGAGATATCAGATATCTCTCCACAATTCTTTTGCTATAAATTTTCTAGTTGCAACCATTTCACTTGTCATCTAAAATGTTGGTATTAATCGATCTGAATAATTTTTTTATTATTATTATTATTATTTATTTGACCAATCGGAAAACATACAATGAGTATAACAATCAGATAATACATAGACATTTCATACAACATTCAAACAGCTTTATGAAAGTGGAGAGGGGATAGAGAGAAGGATGCAGTCTGCTGGTCAGAAGGATTGACTAGCATGAGTCATGGCATGACCCTGAAATCTGAATATCACACTCTTAAATTGATAGTTGATACAAAAAATGTTTCTTGTTAGACTTTTCTAGTCTAGGCGATGTCGAATATAAAAATGTAAACAGTCGAGACACCGTCAGAATCAAAACATCTCATCACACATACACAATTATACATGTAGTCTATGTAGGGTCTAGGCCTATAATCTTTTTGGCAGTAACATTTTTAAGACTACATATACAACCACACACACCACTTCCACTGATACTGAACAACGAGAACAAAGGGGAATCTACTCTTGATCTTGTCACAAGTCACAAATCTAAACTGATGCGGGACCGCCAAACGTTCTCAACATTATTAACACGGCTCAGCTGGCGCTAGTGTAGCAAGGTATCCAAAATATAGCCTACTAAAACAGACCCCAAATTTCAGACCCCAACCCTAACCCTAAGTTAACCCTAACCCTAACCCTAACCCTAACCCTAACCCTAGAACCCTAACCCTAACCCTAACCCTAACCCTAACCCTAACCTAACCCTAACCCTAGAGATAATGATAAACACGAAATTTGGGGTCTAAAATTTGAGGTCTGTTTTAGTAGGCTATATTTTGGATACCTTGCTACACTAGCGCCGCTCAGCTCAGCCTGCGCGGCATGCAAGGACTAGATCTAGCCCGAGCCGCTCCGGCAAGAGCGTGTGACGCATTGACCATTTTTCTGTCTGGCTGCCCCAACTTCGCCACAAAAGATTAAGTAGAAATTTAATGTAGAAGGTTAATTTATTCACTTTAGGGAAATGAAGTCGGAGTAAAATTCATGACAAATGTTAAAAATGAACCATATTTCACCTCAAAGGCTCAGACGATGTAGAATTGTGCAATTTGTTGATAGAGTTCGTTAAAACTGTTATCTCCCGAAACGCAGATATTGAACAAACAAATAAAAAAGGAAAAATATTATGCACTGTTCCAGCGTACCGTACCCTGCCCGGTTTCCGCCCGATGGGCAGTTTTTCTCAGATAACTTCTCCGAAAATGAATTATACAGGCGCTAATGTATACCAATTTGTTGCCGAAATTCTAGCAAATCTAGCGTTGCCATTCTTACGCCCGAAATCATAAGCGATTGTCCGTAGCGCGCCGTCTGCGTGAGGCATTTTCCTTGCCTAATTCCGCCTAGACCCGCCCTAATTCCGCCCGATGGTGGGCGCGCATCAAAAGTATAGAAAAAGGAAACATCTCGGGTACACGTTAGGCCAAATCAAATTGCTTCCCAGTAGAATTCGATCTACATGTTATTTTGATAATTGATATTTCTTTCTTTATTTCTTCTCTTGCCTCTGTAGGCCTAATGCAAGTGCACTGTTATTTATCAGTTTCTGATCTGGAAAAACAATTTTGTACTGCCTTTGGAAAATCCTGCGACTTGTCTATGATGTTTTAATAATGTGTTCAGTCAAATCTTCAGTGTTCTATCGCTAATCGGGAGAGGGGAAGAAAAAAAAATCCACAATAACAACATTTTGTCAAAAAAAAAACTACCACTATTAAAGTAAACACTTTGGTAAGAGAGTAATGGCACTTCATTTTTTAATTTTTTTTTTTAAACTGCAAATTATTCTCGACATCTCTCAAATCTTGATTAAAAAATAAATTAGCGTATATTTTTAGGATATTGGTTGGAAAAGCATAGCATTTTCGTCATAGGAATTATCATCATCGCCGACATCGTCTTAATCATCATCATTACAATTTTAGGGTAGGCCTATGTGACGCAAATGTGGTTTCCTGTTTGATTATTTGTTCAAGACTTCAAGTTGTTGTGTTTTTTGTTTTCTAGTTGTTCTAAATTATGCAGTATTTTATGCATTCAATAATAATAGTTCAACTTTAAAGATAAAACTTTCCGAAATGATCTTGAAAACGAAGTCGTCGATTCACTTCCATGGGGGGGGGGGGGGGGGGGGGGGGGGGGGGGGGGGTAGTGAGCACATTTTTTTTTTTTTGATCCTCAAAAAAATTTCAATTTGCACCCCCCCCCCCCCCTTGAGCGCCAGGGGGGGGGCCCAACCCCCAAAAAAGGTAAAAATCACGTGATTTTACATGATTTTTTTCTCAAGGGGGGGGGCCCGGGCCCCCCGGGATCCGCCACTGCCCCCACCCCCCCCCCCCCCACATTTTCTACATAATGCTACATGTTAAATTCATCCATTCATCTATTTATTTATTCAATATTCATTCATTTTATTGCCGAGAGATATTTATGTTATGGATAGAGATGAAAAATGTTCACCTTTTATTCGCCATAAAACTTTCGCAAAACTAACAACGTAAGAATCACCTTAGCAATTTGAAAGGCCTGACAGGCGTATGCCCTTAATGTATTATTTATACTACTCTTTCGATAGCCATTCATATAGGTTTATTTCACATGAAACAACAGACTGGGATTTTAGTTTCTACCCCTATATTTATTTTATTCACAGTCAACTGAGGGAAATTTATGGCAGCGAAAATGTCATGATTCATGTTGGTCATGTTGGTAAAATTAGATAACACACAAACAATTGAAAAAAAATTGAAAAATAATTATAGCCTAAAGCATAGAAGTATTAAGAAAGAAGGATATAAAATTGAAGAGGGAGACTAAAAGAAAAATGGGGAAAAGGAGGGGTGTAATCGAAGAAACATCCTGTATCGTATTATAAACAAGCACTCTTTTCGCTACAAAGCCACGACGCTGGATTAAAAGGCGACACAACATGAATACAAACTTTTTGCAAATCTATACCAACCCTGGCAACTTTTTTAAAAGCCGGACCTATTTTTTGTCATTGGGATCACTGTCGGAGAACCGAACTTCAAGCATTTCTTAATATCAATCATATCTAATTTTGTCACAAAATTTAACTTCATGACTAGTAGGCCTACATTAAATTACAAATCAATAGACCACATCGTTACCCGAAATTGTCGGTTGCTCGAACGAACGGCCAAACATCATTGCAACATTCTTCGGGGGGAGGGGGGGGGGCTTCAATCCCGGCCTCCCACCTTATTCGCCTATCATAATAAGGACAATTACACCCCAGAAAACTACTCCCAAGGATAATTACCCAAATGACAATTACCCCTCGACGACTCAAACTACGCCCAGAAAATTACCCCCGATGACGATTACCCCCATCTCTGAAACTTAACCCCTATATAGGACATTGACCCCCCCCCCCCCGGACAACCAAGAACAATACCCCCTGTTCATTAAAGGGGAAGTCAACCCCGATAATAAGTTGGGTAATTTTTAGGGGGAGATCATTTTCAGGGTGGGGGGGGGGTAAAATTATTATCTATCCCAACATCGTATAAACGATGTTCACACAGGGAAAATTTTCTATAAACATGTTTAAAACTGTTGAGTTAAACACGTTTATACTAATCATCTCTAGATACGATGAATTTTAGCTGTGTGTGAAAAGGCTGCATGTTATTGCAATGACGACCTTCGTCATTGCCTTGTTTTCGTTCACATTCTGCCCCATAAATATTCTTCTTATCTTCGTCAGAAAATCGCATTCGTTTTGCACGTAGTGCTTGTTATTCCTAGTTAGGTGCTTTTCTCATGTCCATTTCCTTTCAAATTTCGTATGGTCAAGGGTGAGTTTATGTTACCCCTGGGGGCAATATGTCTTTCTACACAGCCATTCTCAATGTTTTCAAAGTAGTAGGCGTCATGATTCTCAGTATCATTATATGGCTGTATTCCTCTTTTGTTATGTACATAACAAAAGAGGAATACACCCTTGACCATTTTATTATTGTTTTGGTTTCGGCCAGGAATACAGACTGGTCAAATGGCCTAATCCATCAAAGTTATGAGTCATGTTTCGGGCTATACTGTAGGACTGGTAGGATTTCCCTGAATTCAAGTTCGGGGGGAACATGAAAGGAAGTGGACCTGTTGACCAATGGGAATTTAATATTGTATGACCCTTCCCACTTTCTCAAACTGTTGCCCACTGGCGTACCTCTGGGGGGCAGGGGCAGAGTGCCCCCCCCCCCCTGACGGGCTCCAGGGGGAAAAAAGAAAAAGGGGAAAGAAAAGAAAAGAAAGGAAAGGAAAGAAAAAGAAAAAAGGAAAAGGGAAGAAAAAAGGAAAGAAAGAGAAAAAAGGAAAAAAAGGAAAGAAAAAAGGAAGAAGAAGAGAAAAGAAAAAAAAGGGAAAAGAAAAGGAAACGAATAAAAATGGGGAAATTTTTTTTAAAAAGACCATGGTCGTACGCACCAGGGGGGGGGGGGCAGTTGACCCCAGATATTTTGAAAACGTACAGTTTTTTTCCTGAAAATGTAGTGTAGGCCTATACCAAATCCTTCAATTCTACTTTTGAAAATGCAAAAGTACCCTCTTGACCAGTTCGGTCGCTCGAACTCCCTTCACTCCTTTTGCTTTTGAGATTCTTCGAAAACTTTTAACGCATCTTTCCCCCCCCCCACCAGAAAAATATTCCGCATACGGCCCTGAAAAATTAAAACAAATGAAAATAGGAAAATATAAGTGATATAACAAATTCGAAACTCTTCGCTGGCGCGAACTGCTTGCTAGCCTATTTTGTATTAAATGTTTTCACTTGCTCGTCCCCCTGAAAAAAGAAAAGGATTAGTATTGCCTAGAATACAATTGTGCCTGCCCCGACCTGCAACCATGGCAACAATAACACACAATACAGTGCGTCCCAGAAAAAGCGAAACCGAGAAGTATCGATGTTTTATCATAACTTAATCACAACCATAATGAATGAATGATACATATTTGGAAAGCTTAGAGTCTCCTCTTTTAGTTGATGCTACTCCGATGATGCATATTTCACGCATGAGTGATTAAAAGCAATTTGAAGGAAGGAAACCAAAAAGACATTTGGCGGGCGGTATCTGAATTTCGAAGAAAAATTCACATTTCTAGAAAGTTGAGTTTCTGCCCTTTCATATGACACCTCAATCAGGAAAAATGAGCGAGGAATAACAAAGTTCTGTTTGTTTAAAGTAGCCCTTACATGTTCATAATTTTAACAAACGAATTCGTTTTCACTGGGTGCTTGCCGTAGCAAAAAGCAGATTTGACAAAAGACTTAACTCCGTTTCGTTGACAATCAGCCATGCATGAAGACTCTCGTCTACGGCTGATTGTCAATGAAACGGAGTTAAGTCTTTTGTTAATTTCGTTTATTGATACGGCAGGCAGCCAGTGAAAACGAATTCGTTTAATAAAATTATGGAAATGCAAGCACTACTTTAAACAAACAGAACTTTGTCATTCCTCGCTCATTTTTCCTGATTGAGGTGTCATATAAAAGGGCAGAAACTCAACTTTCTAGAAATGTGAATTTTTTCTCGAAATCTAGATACCGCCCGCCAAATGTCTTTCATATGGCTCCGTTTAGTCTCATTTCACAACGCCCCTATCGTCAGAGCATGGTCAGATTCAGCAGCCTAACATGTTAGCCTATGGACGTTGTTTTTTTAAAATCGTTAAAATTCATTTTTTGTTTAAACGAAAAGCACATCCACCCCGACGTACGTTATCACTAGCTCTTTCATTGGAGCCCTCATGTCTAATTGACTTTTGAAAGTTCACCCACCGTAATTTTTCAAAATAGGTTGCAAGCTCGTCATTGCCTATAAAACACATGTGAAACAAGTCTAACTTTGGACTCAGTTTACCAAGCGATTTGAAGATTATAGGTCGAGCACACGAAACATAAAAAGCATGAATTATCATAGATCACTTCTGCCTATTTCGTTTTGTCCATTTCATCCAACCCCCCACCGTAATTTTTCCATTTAGTAAAAGCAAACATTTTGCCGAGTTTAGCAAAAACATGAATATTCATGAACGGTCAGACAATACAGCCTTTTAGTACGTAACGTATAGTGAATGGGAATGTGCGATGATCCGTGTAGGAGGTAGAGGTCAGTGGTTTGTGCTGGCAATGTTCACGCGAGCGAAAATGAGACAATCGGAGCAATATGTTGGTTTCCTTCCTTCAAACTGCTTTTAATCACTCATGCGTGAAATATGCATCATCTGAGTAGCATCACATGAAAGAGGAGACTCTAAGCTTTCCAAATATGTATCATTCATTAATTATAGTTGTGATTAAGTTATGATAGAACATCGATACTTCTCGGTTTCGTTTTTTTCTGGGACGCACTGTATATGTAAATGTTGCTAAAAGAGATTAATTCATTTTTCTAGCTCGCTACACTCGCTCGCAAATAAAATGAATAGACATTGCTTTGGAAACAATTGTGCCCACCCTTGACCTGCAACAATATCATTAAAAATGGAAGAGTTTTTTCGCCCTCTCGCCAAAAAGGAATTGAATCGCGTTAAACGCGATTGCGTCCATCCTGACCTGCCCCAATAAAAACAAGTTTATTTATTAATTTCTATTAAAAGAGAATTTGTTTTGTTTTGCTTGCTCGCTATGCTCGCTCGCCAAAATGGAGTTGCCACCGCTAACGTGTCCGCCCCAACCTGCAACAACCAGTTAATAATTATGTACCAAACGTTA